GACCATTACCGCCACAGAAAGAAAGCATTGTCTTCTCTTCCAGTTTTTTTCACATATAGACCTAGTGTGAAGAAAAAATGATCCAGCCACTCTTCAGGTTAAAATCAGCTTGTCTACAAGCCACTCTCCCTCATGACTGGAACTCTATACTTGAGCCAGGCCTCTTGTTCAACATGCTGTTGTTATGTTAGATTTTGGTGAAGAACTAGAAGTAATATTGAGTCAGTCTCCTAATTCCTCATGTTTAAGGATCATTACTACTCACATGACTTTCAGTTGTTTTCTTCAAGGACCTGTTTCATTTGTTGGTGAATACTGGGGATCAAATCTAGGGCCTCATGAATGCTAGACAAGTCTCTACTACTGAGCAACACCCTTAGTCCCTAGACTTGTTTTTTTCATTTGTAAAATGTAAAGTATATCACTCCCATTTGAAGGTACAATATTAGATGAAATGAATTATATACCATGACTGTAAGGTACTATTTAACTTCATTCCTAACGTGAAAAAGAAATTAATCACAGAACTCTGTTTTGCATTATTATCCAATTTAAAATTTGTATGGCCGATTAGTAATAGGAATATATATCTATGTGTACACATTTACTATTTAGAGTGATCATACATACATATAAGACATATACAGACATTGCTTAGTATCTATGGAGGATTTGGTACCAGGACCCCTACAAATATACCAAGTTCTGACAATGTTCCAGTTCCTTATATAAAAAGGCATTTACATAAAACCTAAACATATCCTCCTGTATAGTTTAAATCTTCTCTAAATTATGTATTTATATATATATAATGCCTAATACCATACACATGCTATATAAAGTTGTTATACTGTATCATTTAGGGAACAATGAACAAAATAATGCAACCCTTACTCTGAATTTTTTTTTTTTTTTGGGTCCGGTTGTAGGGCCTGATCTCTGGGCCTGGGCACTGTCCCTCAGCTCTTCAGCTCAAGGCTAGTGCTCTACCACTTGAGCCACAGCGCCACTTCCGGCTTTTTTCTTTTTGCTTATGTGGTGCTGAGGAATGGAACCCAGGGCCTCATGTATGCAAGGCAAGCGCTCTACCACTGAGCCACCTTCCCAGCCCTCTGAATATTTTTGATCCACAGAACCCATGGAGACAATGAACAATTGTAAATGATTTATTATGTAGGCCTTGTATGTGTATAATCACTTAACCAGTGAAAGAGATGCTATGAAATATATGCTATAAAACTCATTAGTTCTCTCCCTCCCCTAATCACTACAGGTAGAAATTCAAGTGCATGGCCAAAGGCAAATGGTGAGAAATAGATCAGCAAGGGAACAAATCTTCCTGTCCTGTCTTTACTCCTTACTAATTATCTCTAAAATTAAATTTGTTCTTCTTGTCCATCCCCTGACTAGAATTAAAGCCCCATGAGAGTAATACATTCATTTTTTTAAAACTTTAATTAAGACATTCATTTTTGTTCCCACCTACATTCCTAGAACATAAAAACATCTGGCCTGGTATGCCCTCGTTTAATATAAGAAATACATTAACAGCCGGGCGCTGGTGGCTCACGCCTGTAATCCTAGCTACTCAGGAGGCTGAGATCTGAGGATCGCGGTTCAAAGCCAGCCCGGGCAGGAGAGACCGTGAGACTCCTATCTCCAATAAACCACCAGAAAACCGGAAGTTGCGCTGTAGCTCAAGTGGTAGAGCGCTCGCCCTGAGCTGAAGAGATAAAGGACAGCGCCCAGGCCCAGAGTTCAAGCCCCACGACCGACCAAAAAAAAAAAAAAAAGAAATACATTAATAATAGCCAGCCGATATCTACCAGTGCTTAACACATTGCCCCCAAACTAGTGACTTCAAACAATAACCATTCTTATTGTCTCTCCTAGTTCTAAGGACTTACCAAGCTCAGCTAGTCAATTCTTGTTCAGGGCTCTTTATGCAGTTATAGTCAGAGAGGGGGTCAGAATCACCTGGAAGTTCAGTCTCTCAAAAGTCTTGAGCTTAGGCTGGGGAGATTAAAATTTTGAAGAGTAAAGCAGCAAGGATTCCTCAGGCATCACTGTGTCCACACGAGCTTTTCATGAGTGCGCTAATGTAGTTACTGCAGGATTTCTGATGGGGCTCTACAGCAAATGGTCCAAGAGAAGACACTGAGGAAATTGGTTATCTTCAGTGTCCTATCCTTGATAATAGGACATGGCTCCTTTCTTTAAAAAAAAAAAAAAAATAAGAGAAAGGTTTTGGAAAAGCAGGTGGGGTGGAAATATAGTAGCTATTTCTGTAAAGTTTAATTCCTCATACAAAGAAATCTGTAAGGTAAAAGGCATTGTCCCATCGGGGAAATAAAGAATAAAGTAGACTAAGAACACATGATGACCTCCCCAAAGGGAAGAATAAGCAAAAATTGACTACCTGAGACAGAGAACAAATCAAGCACAAGTGTGAAGTCCAGGAAAACTGGACCATTGAGAACCAGATTAGGTATAACAGTGAACATCAACAAAGGACAGTCATCACTAGTCTTAGAAAATCTGAATTCTCGTTTTGATGACACTAATTTAACATCTAAAACAGAACGTTTATTGGATAGTTTTCCAGTTTACCCATAAAGCCTGATTGGAAATTTCTGGTGCAACCTTATCCTAGCATTCCCAAAAGGAAGGCAGAGTTTATATCTTCAACACAGTTCTTCTCCTTCCAATAGTAGGTCACTCAGCTCTCTTTACAATAAAAGAGTAAAAAACCGAAGACTTTCATCCTGGCTATCAATGAAGTCACCGGACTTGCATGTTTGTAAATCTGAAAAAATGATGGCACAATACTTTCTGATATTTCTTACTCTAAAGTTTTAATAGGTCTGTGCTTTAAATCTGAGCTATATTTATGGAAGTGGCACTGTGGCTCAAAGTAGAAGAGTGCTAGCCTGGAGCAGAAGAGCTCAGGGACAGCACCCAAGCCCTAAGTTCAACTGTCAAAAAAAGAAAAGAAACTATTTATTTTTGAATACTTTTATTATCTTTAAGTAGTTGTACAAAGGAGTTGCCATTCACCAAAGCAGTTTACAAATAAATACAGTGCATCTTGATCACTGTCACCGCTTCCAGCATTCTCACAAACCCTCCCAACCCTCCCCTGCCCTTATCTTAATTTTAGGTTAGGTATTGAATTTTTTTTGCCGTTTAACAGTTTATGTACAATGCATCTTTATCTCTGTCATCACTTCAACACCTTCATCTCCCTTGGAGCCACCCCATCCCTTGTATTTCTCAGTTCTGTGGTATATACAATCAACTGTTGCCTGTATTCTTCCCCCTCCCTCTTCAGACTTCTTTCCTCTCCCCTTGGTCCAACCTCTTACAAGTACCCATTTTCCGGGTGCTTATTTGAACTCTCCCTAGCCTTTTACATTCATTTGTAACTCCTTACTTACCACCCAGCATATCTACTTGTAGATTTGTAGGAACATTTTTGCTACCACAAATGAGGAAAGCCATGCAACCTGTGTTTCTCTGGGTCTGGCTTACTTCAGTTAATTTTTCCCACGGTGTTTCATTTCCTTATGAATGGAACAATATTATTCTTCGAGGTTGAACAGAATTCCATTGTCTATCTGTACCACAGTTTCTTGATTCATTCATCCATTGAGGGGCATCTTATGTATGACTTTGCACTAGAATCAATTCAAAATGGATCTAAGACCTCAATGAAAGGCCAGAAGCCATGCAAGTAATACAGGAGGTGGTAGGGGAAACTTACAGCTTCTCAGCACAGGTCAAAACTTTCTAAGTAGAGATGCAGAATCACAACAAATCAAAAGAAGAGAAGATAAATGGGATTGCATCAAACTTAAAAGTTTCTATATGGGAAAAGATATAGCTTGCAAGCTAAATAGAGAGCTAGCAAAATGGGAGGGGTTTTTTTGTTTGTTTGTTTTTTGTTCTTTGTTGTTTTTTTTTTTTACCAGCTATACATCAGACAAGGGCCAAATATCCAAAATATACTTAAGAGTTCAAAACAATTAAAGCCTCCAAAAATAAATCATCAAAGAAACAACCCAATTAATAGAGGGGGTCATGACTTAAGAGATTTCTCAAAAGTAAAAATGGCTAAGAGATAACATGAAGAAATGTTCAACATCTCTGGCCATAAAGGAAATACAAATCAAACAATACTGAGATTCCACCTTACCCCAGTTAGAATGGCCAATATCAAGACAACTAACAGTAAAATGCTAGTGTGGATGGATGTGGTCAAAAAGGAACTCTACTACATCGTTAGTGGGAATGTCAACTTGTTCAACCACTCTGGAATGCAGTATAGAAGTTCCTTGAAAAATGAAACCTAGCACTACCCTTTAGCCAGGCAATTCCACTCCTGGACATTTTATGCAATAGAGCAAAAACAAGACCACAGTAAAGCTACCAGCCCAACTATGTTCATTGCAGCATTATTTACCATGTAAGTCTTCAAAAACTATATAACACACTTTTTGAACTTTTAGTAATTTTCTTTTAAGTGTCATTTTTAATTAGACATAGGTGATATTGCAAATTTGTGAACAAGTCCAATTCAGCTAAACTTAGGGATCTTAAAACTACTAATGTCCTTTTTTTCTCCTTTCAAGTTAGTTTCCAAATGACCTTAATTTATTTTCTCATATTGTGCTGCTACTCACCACATGATTATAGATAAACATAAATATTTTCTAGGTAGGTTGAAAATAAGCCTAAATCTTAACCCTAAGCTGTAACACAATTCTATCCAGGTGTCCTGGCCTCCTCATCTTTTCAATAAAAGTATTAAGTAATGAACTCATAAAGAAAACACAACATTGGATTCCTATATTTTCTAAACTATATTGTTTTGTTTATCTAGCTTAAGTATTAGCCTTATGTGAAGGTACAGCTTTAAGTATCTATATTTAGCTCTAAATACATAATTTTTCATTTAGTCACTCTATCAGGCATAGTAACAATTACATTTCTCTTTTTAGACCTTGGACTGTCTCAGGATGTAGCAGGTGCAACTTTCATGGCAGCTGGAAGCTCAGCTCCAGAATTAGTCACTGCTTTCCTAGGTAAATATTGCTCATTGTACTTTGTAATTACTCAGTGGGATTTTATTTTCAAGTTAACACTAACTTAACTACTACTGTCTTGTTCATAGGTGTATTTGTCACAAAGGGAGATATAGGCACTAGCACCATCCTAGGATCTGCAATTTACAATCTCCTTGGTATCTGTGCAGCCTGCGGCTTGCTGTCTAATGTGGTATGTAAAAGAACCATTCAATAAAATTATCCTGAAAAAGACTACAAATGATTGCTTATCGGATAAACAACAAAACACTAGTAATATGTTCAATCAAATTTATTAATCAGTAGAAAAACAAGTTATTGAATTTATTTAACCCCACAAATGGGTCTTGGTCATTTATAAAAATGAGTATACGTTTAGAAACTTTTCTTTAAAATTCATTTTCTTCCAAGTAATATGCAAAACGTAACATTAGTTACCTACAAATATACAAACAGTTTTAGAATTATACTATGCATTGTAGTTGAATTCCTTACACAATAATGGAAACAGTAAATCAAGCTATCATTTTTACAGGTTTCAACACTATCCTGTTGGCCCCTATTCAGAGACTGTGCAGCCTATGCAATTAGTGTAGCAGCAGTTTTTGGCATAATATTTGACAACCAAGTTTACTGGTAAGCCAGAAATCATTGCTACTCATCTGTAAAGCATAATTCCAGAAAGCACGTCAATGAAATATAATGTCATTCTTTTTTCAGAACTTCTGCCACTTCTATACCATACTCCAGGGTCTCTAAGCTAACTCCTCATTACAACTACTAGTGGGTTCTCCTTACTTTTTTATCATCTCATGCTCTCCTTTATTATTCTCTCATATGAATCATGCAGTCTATCACTCTTCCTTGTCCTCTTTGGCTGTTTAGTTTCCCAAATTTTGTTACCTGTTAAAACCCAAAGCCAATAGGCTTTGTCTTCTACTTGGCTATTGCTTATCTTGCTTTGGTCAGAAATGGCCACTGTTACAAAAGATTGAAGAAAGATGATGGGAGTTCCTTCTATTTCTCTCTGAAACTCACTGAGTAGGACAGCCTTCTTCTTCTAAGAACCAACAGTTTAAAGGTGAAGATTAAAAATTCTTTTCCCTATTATCTGTCCAAGAAACTTGGTCCAAGAAAATGAAAATGCAGGAACCTTAATGGACAGATATAATCTCTTTCAAATAAGCACTGGGTGCTTATATTCTAGGCGTTTATCGTTAGAGTAGGCATGACAGAAGAAATATCAAACATGCAGCCATACATGCTGCGCCCTGAATAACTTCTAGGGGACGTAAGAGAAAAATAGAAAACAAGGTAAATGATGCTCCTTTGGAGTACTACACCTTAGAAACTCTGTGTGGCATGTTACTAAAAAACTTCAAATCTAGCAAGGAAGAATATTTCTCAATCATTCTACTATGTAGTCTGTCTCCCAAAGACAAGACTGTGTTAGTACAATGAAGATGCTCTGGAATTCAGTGCTTGTCTACAAGGAACGGTGAACAAAAATATTCAATTCAGTAAGTCTGTTCTTTCAGCTGTAATAGAGAGCAATTCACTAAATAAAAACTAAATGTAACATTTCACTGTGATGACATTAGTTAATTATAGTAATATAAGAAAATGAAGAGTACAGGAAGCCAAAAATGGATATTGATTTATTTTTGAGAGTATCTTGGATTTCTGGTGAATATAAGCCAAGTTAAGCAATATTAAACTCATGAAAAAAAAAAAAGGGCCAGGAGTGTTGACACAGAACTATAATCCTAATACTTGGGAGGCAGAGGCAGGAGATTATGAGTCAGAAGCCAACCTGGGCCACCTAGTGAGACCCTGTCTTACAAAAAAAAAAAAAACCAAAAAAACCTCTGTACCAAACAAAAAAGTCCCAGCCAAAGCTTACTGCATTCTGATTATTTTACTCAATGTTCTTATATTAGAAAATTTCAGTGGACACTGCTGATTTCAGCTTTGCCCCTTGACTCACTACATTCTTCATATTATTCATTTTGAGTAATGTGCTATGTCAATGAACTGAGCTAGGAAATGCCCAATATTATTCTTTAGTTTTACTTTCATGTTGAAAATCTCCAATTATTTTCAAAGCATTTTGTGCCTGGAATTCAGAAAGAATTTACAAATGTAAATAATGGAGCTAGAACTTTTTCAACATAGAAAATGTCAGGCTTTTATCAATGAAACGTTTGAAATAATGGAATAATCATGAGTAAGCAAACCTTTAAAATTGTCTTGTTTTTGTTAGAAAATTATCAAAAAAATACTATCCAAAGTCATTAACTTTAAAACTTCAAATTCATTTAAATCCACAAATTTCCCTTACCTCATAGGTATGAAGGAACTTTACTGCTTCTGATATATGGATTGTATATCTCCGTGCTGTGTTCTGATGTTAAAATTAGCCAGTACATCATGAAGAAATGTGGTCCCTGTTGTAGCTGTCTTGCCAAAGCTATGGAGGAGGGCAGTGAACAACAGGCACTGGTGGGATGGGAAGATGATCACATGTTCATTCGTCGGCAGTCAAGAACGGACAGTGGGATATTTCATGAAGATTCTGATTACTCCCAGGTTTCTATAAGCTTACATGGACTTAATCAGGTTTCTGAAGGTAATTACTACAGATAGCCCACTGTTAAGTCTATCCATTAGAAAAACAGAAGAATGTAATTTGACTTTAGCAAGTACCAAATATATATCAGACATAGTGGGGATCCAGGCATGATGGTGATGTCCCAGACCTTTTCGAGCTTCTAGTATTAAAAAATAAAACACAAGCATATGAAGTAAGTACCATAAGTACCATAAGAAGTACACAACTGTGCCCAGTAAATAGGACACAGGGCAGATTGCATAAAATTTGCTAAGAACAGGTAGGCGATTAAGATAGAGAAAGAAGCATTTAAACCAAGATTTATCAAAGAGGTAAGATTTTTAACTTGATGATCTGGGGGTAACAAGAAGTAACAGCTACTAAAATCCTTATTATGTATGCAGAAACAATACCATATCCTATGGAGTTGAAGCTAAGGAACCTTTAGCAAAAGGCCTGCTCGGTACTTCCATAAGTAGATACCAAAATATATGCACAATAAAATAAGGAAGCAGATAGTAAGGAAGGTGGGTAGAAAGGAAAGGAATAACAAAAGGCTTAAGTGCTAGTGTAAGAATTCTGGAAGTTTTGAGTAGGAGAATTATTACAACTATACTTTAGGAATATCATTCTGAAATGATGTTCACAGAACTGCTGAAATAAGAGGGAGGAGAAAGAGAGGTCTGGGAAAGGCGATTACAACAGCTGACCTTATTCTTAGATAGCTAGAGAGAAGACCATAGTATGAAAGAGAACACATCATCAACACTTGGCAGCAGAGAGACTAGAAGAGGCCAGAAAAAGGAGTAAAGAGAATGAATGTCAAAGCTTGATCTTGACTGAGAAATGCCTAATAAAAATTGGTAATTGATACCTGACCTATGTAACCGTAACCCCTCTGTGTCTCACCTTTATAATAAAAATAAATTTTAAAAAATTTGGAAATTAAGGGAAGTGTGTTGGTTCAAAGGAAGAGAAAGGAAAAAAAAAAAAACAACCACAACCACCAGGTGAGGTTTAAACATGGCATGTGAAGCATTAGCAAGATCTTTAGGTTTTATGTACCATGAAGGCAAAGTCAGTTGTGACCACAAATACAAATCTATGAATTGCTTTTTCTTACAGTGGTTATTTCGAAAGTTTCTAGTTGTGATTAAGGAGGAAACATCTGGATTTACTACCTTCAAAACTGAAGCATGACTTTTCCTGTGTCTTACAAAATTACTTCTAGTGTTTAAGAGTATGCATCTGTCACACAAGAAACTCAAGAGCCAGCCAGATTCCCTACATTAAAATCATACCTAATATTGGTTGACACTTAATAAACATTTTGTAAGTTATTTTATTAGCATTAGTTGTAATTCGTTTGCTTTAGGTACCAATGTATTATTTTATAAATGCTACACAAACTTAAAAGTTCCAAAGTGAATTCCCATTTTTAGCCAATATATCAGTGTTATCTTTGTCCTCCACTTACCTAAAACCAAGTAAATAAAAGAATGTATTCAAATTTAACAAGTTATACTGTGATTCCACACTAGTTCTTAGTTTCTTAAGGTTCCTTTTAGGAATAGTGAGTCCTAAAGTTAGTAACTAATGTAATTTAAAAAATCACTATAATTAAGAATCAGAATGAAATGTGGAATTTAAAATGCTATAATTATTTTATATCCCCTAAGTATGAATTATCATAGGATAGGCAAGAAGCTGGGGAAAAAAATCAAGTTAAAACCCAGCACAAAAAGTCCCTGAAGACAACCTATACTGTAGAAAACCAAGAGATACCTAATTCCTACTTCATAAACACTGTCACTATAAGCTTCACAAATGGTCCACACTTAAGGAGTTAAGGCTTTAAGTCAAGAAATGCTGAGTATTACATTGACTGCCTGAGTTTCAATTAGTTTCTTTTTGTGGGAAATATCCGTAATGAGGTATTCAAATGTTTTAGATAGTCTTTTAAAAACAGATACAGCTAATTTATTTCAATACAGCTTTCTAAATGGGCATTTCTAACTTAATAGGCCATTTGAGAAAACAATTTTTTTTTTTTTTTTTACAACAGATCCACCAAGTGTTTTCAACATGCCTGAAGCAGACTTAAAAAGAATTTTTTGGGTATTATCCCTTCCTATTATTACACTACTTTTTCTAACAACACCAGATTGTAGAAGAAAGTTTTGGAAAAAATACTTTGTGATAACCTTTTTCATGTCTGCACTATGGATATCTACATTCACATATATCCTGGTTTGGATGGTCACAATAACTGGTATGTATTTAAGTATAGTAGCAATAACAAGACTAATTTCATATTAGAACAAATTGCCTATGTTTGCTCAAAACAGTTTGGGAACACACTTATTTTTCAGCAAGACTAGAGATTAGTGCTATACACAGATTGATTAAATATTAATTCAACAAGATCATTCAGGTTTTCTAAATTGTATCTTATATGTCAACTACATTCTCGCTATTATACAGCCTTAGAGTATAACTCAAGGAGTCATAAACAAAATCAAGTTCATAGGATATCTTTCTATCATGCTAACAATTAAGTCACAATACATGAAGTACACAAACTTTTATACTGAATTTTATTCCACAGTGAAAATAAAGAGCTTATGTTTTGAAAAACTATAGGTGCTCACTTTTTATCTAGGTTATATTTTCTCTTCAATATAGCAACATAAATACACTGAAATGATTGAAGAGGATGGAAAATAACATTTCACTTATTCTTAATAATATTTGAAATCTCCTATCTTCATGATTAATACTCAATTATTACTGCTTAGCCATAATTCTCTCTGCTCCCTAAAGGAAAACTAAATATAATCAGGAACTGCTCTCCAAAAGGTTAATAACCACAACTGATATATCAGAGGGACCCAGTATTGCGCATGTGTAAAAATCACCCAGGGTTGTATAAAAAAATTGAGACCCACACATTACATGTCATTTATAAGTGCTTTCATACTTCATTGGCAGAAAGCAATAATTGCAACAGAAAGCAAATACTCTACAAAGTTTAAATAATTACTATCTGGAACTCTTCTCCTCAGATTCTGCTGATCTTGACTTTTCCCAAATTAATACATACATTAGAAGAGTATGCTAGTAAAAAAATTGAATTTCTTTAATGAAGATGAAAAAATTCAATTAGGTTGCATATTAAATCTACCCCAATTTTTCTAGCCAGAACTCATTTGATATTAAGAAAATAGGACGAGAACAAATGAAGTTATAGATCACCTAATAGCCCCTAGAATAGCCAAGTAACAAAGTCTGCAACCAACCAACTCTGATTCCAGTACTCATACACATAAGCATTCAGTAGGAAGCTTCTTCCTCTTAAATTTCTTTGATCTGCATTTTAAAAGTAAAGATCTCACAGTTTCAATTATGATTTTTAAAAAGTAGTTTTTTAACTTCCCTCTGGTTCTGTTTCTCAGAATGAACACATTATGAAAAATGTTCATTGAATATTACAATTTAAGAGAGGTATTAATTGGGATGTCAGAAAGACGAGTAGAAAAAAAAATTGTTTGCCTTAGCTATCTATAGACTTCTTGAAGAAAACACAAAGGTTTATCACACTAACATATGTATAAATTTAACTCTATAATTTGCTAAACACTTAAATTCCCTTTTAATGACCAGTTTTACCAGCATTTATTAACCAAAATCCAAACAGGTACCAGTGGACCTCTACTCCGTAAGGATTCCAAATAGGGGTTTTCCCATCTGTACAATTTTGGCTGCTAAATAACTTTACATATCTGTCATTAAAAACCTTTACTGGCCAGGTGCTGGTGGCTCACACTTATAATCCTAGCTACTCAGGAGGCTGAGATCTAAGAGTCACAGTTCAAAGCCAGCCAGGGCAGGAAAGTCCATGAGACTCTAATCTCCAATTAATCACCAGAAAACTGGAAGTGGAGCTGTGGCTCAAAATGGTAGAGTGCTAGCCTTAGGCAAAAGAGCTCAGAGACAGTGCCCAGGCCCTGAGTTCAAGACTTACAGCCGACAAAAAAAACAACAACAAACCTATGCCACCAGGATACCTGGATTAGCCAAATTACAAACTAATTCAAATTATTTTACTACCTAACAACTAAGTAGGCATATATTGGTTCAGAAATATATGATTTTTTTTATTCCTGAACACAGAGGATATCTGAAATATGTGCAGAGAAAGGCTCTGCACAATTTGTAACTTGTTACATCTGTGCTGGTTACAGGGGCAACACTAGCGATTCCAGACACAGTGATGGGCCTTACTCTACTAGCAGCAGGAACGAGCATACCGGACACCATTGCGAGTGTGTTAGTTGCTCGCAAAGGTAAGAACCAAGTCCCTCAGGCTGCAGTTTCCATTGTTCAGCAAGCATGACTGAAATACACTGAGTCAAAGTGACATTAAAAATATTTATTTCCTCAGTAACATACTTTGAAATGAAAAAAAAAAGACTCCAAGAGAAAAAGTTTACTATTTAGTAGCAAATTAATTTCACTTACTCTAACTCCCCCAATAATATTTGTCGGAATCGTGCACTTAATAGTAAATAACTATATTATATTAGAATGAAAGGCAACAAATAAGCTACACACCTTATTGAAAAATGGTTTAATAAATAAAGATACTTATTAAATAAATGTTAGGACTTTAAATACTAACCTAAGAAAACTTTAAAAATACAAATTCAGCAAGACTTTTTCTCTAATAACAACAGTTTTCCAAAATTAACGAACAACAAGAAAATATCCAGTGTTTTTTTTTTCATGAAGAGTAGTAATAAAATACAGTATTGGTATGCACATGTTAATCACATGCATTTCCTCTGTAGGTAAAGGAGACATGGCTATGTCTAACATCGTGGGATCCAATGTGTTTGATATGCTGTGCCTAGGTATTCCCTGGTTTATTAAAACTGTGTTTACAAACCCATCAGTTCCAGTAGAGGTGAACAGCAAAGGACTCACTTATATAACCATCTCTCTCAATATTTCAATTATTTTTCTTTTTCTAGTAGTCCATTTTAATGGCTGGAAACTGGACAGAAAGCTGGGAGTAATCTGCCTATTATTATACTTGGGACTTGCTGTATTATCAGTTCTATATGAACTTGGAATCATTGGAAATAACAAAATAAGGGGCTGTGGAGGCTGATATATTAGTGTTTTGTGAAAATGGAATGGTAGGAGGGGCAGAGAAGGGAAACATTTCTTCATTTAAGTCAAATAAAAAACATCCTCAACTTTAGAATGCAAAACTTAACATACAGTAATTATTTATCATCAAAGAAAAACAACTTAAAACCAACCAAAATCACATCCTAATTTGTCTGAACCCTTTTTCATGGACAATTAAATATTCTAACACAAGTTTTGAAAAAAAAAATCATCTGCCATTTACCTAAAAGGAAGCTGATAAAAGCTGGGAAAATGACAACAAACAAATCCTACTATGATGTCATACTGAAAACAACAAGAAATAGCTTATTTCATTAAAAACAGTACAACCATTCATTTAAACTGAATGAGCAGACTTGCTGTCTTTTAGAAACCCAAACTTGAGATTAACAAAAATCACAGTATATTTTTAACATTATACTGCTGAAAGCTGGTGGGATATTCAAAAGTTCATTATTACAGCTTTTGTAAGCATACAATATTACTTTAAAAAAAAAAAAAGACTTTTACTATGAGATTCAGCAAAACAGATGAAGGAATGTTCCAACCGTGGTTTGAAATTATGCGTTACGATCCAAGCGAACATCAATTTCTCTGCCACTGATTTTTATGCCATTCATTATTCTGCAGGCTTTTTCAGCTGATTCTGGGGAGTCAAATCTGACTGTCCCACAGCCTTTTGACTTTCCATTCTCCATTTTTATTTCTGCAAACATTACATGACCTGTAACAAAATTACTAATCAGTTTAAATGGATTTCATTCTTTGTATGGGATAAATAACATTAATGCTAATAATCATGAACATTATACTTACATTCTGACAACACAAATCACATAAAGTAATATAAGCATATACAAAACTGATACTGGGATATATCTGCTTAGGATATAATGTTTTGTGTTAAATTCCTAATTTCTAAAGTGAATTTCATAGCAATAAGAAGGACAAATGCAACTAACTGACCATGACCCGTGATAAGCTTGTACCTCTAATCAAAATTAGTTTTAGAATGACTGCTCAACTTCCTAATGTGTCTTCCTTCTCTTTTATCTTCACTCCTTTGTCCCCTGGAAATAACAGTATTTCCCTAAATCTAATTTCTATCAGGTCACAAAAGGCCCCATAAATTTTACTTTTCATTTAATTACACTTTGTACAGGTATTGGGGCTTGAACTCAGGGCCTGGAAGATGTCCTTTAGCTTTTTTAGTTAAGGCTGGTTCTCTACCATTTGAGCCACAGATCTACTTCCAGTCTTTTGCTGGTTTATTAGAGATAAGAGTCTCATGCACTTTCCTTCCCTGAATGGCTTTGAACCATGATCTTCAGATCTCAGCCTCCTGAGTAGCTAGTTTTTTGTTTTTGGGGGTTTTTTTTTTAATGAAGAAAGCTATAAGGCTTTATTTTTTTTCCAAATGAGTAAAACAGGTTTTATTTTAATCATTCTTACAATTTTGGAAACTCAGCTACACTTGAGTTTTTCTCCCCTTTTTTTAGTACTTTTTATTTTATTGTAAAGGTGATGCACAGAGGGGTTACATAAAATAAGGTAGTGAGTGTATTTCTTTTTAGCAGTGTAACTCCCTCCCTTGTTTTCTCCCGCTTCCCCTCCCATTGACTCCCCTCTCCCACAAGCTGTAAACTTTCCAACATCTTGTTTGCTGAGTATCACTGTTGCATTGGTTCTCACTTTGTCCCACCTTTTCTGTGATTCCCCTTCCCTTCCTCAAATCAGATAGACTTACGTATAAGATAAGGAGTACCAAAAGCAGAAACAGGGACCACAGGGAATAAAAGAGAGGAGAAAAAAAGAAAAAAGAAAAGAAATAAATGCAAACAGTACACACGTACGTACGTACGTGTACACACACACACACACACACACACACACACACACACACACACACACTTCTTGTTTCCATATCCTAGAGATCATTTTGATTCACATCATTATATGTGGTCATATATATATGTAGCTAGGATTTTATAGGGGTGAGCCACCACACCTATTAATTGTACTTTTAATCAATGCATTTATTCAATATTCTAGTTTGGAATTAAAGTCTTAAGAATGGTCTCAAATTCACTATGGTAAGAAATACAGAAGAGAACATAGATTTAAATCAATGAAAGTAAAAATGATGTTGACATAAAGGAAAACCATATAGAAGTTGCTAGAAGGGCTAGAAGGAGAGAAAACCAGACAAGTGTTTCTTCTGCAGTTAATATCATTATTAACTCTACAACTGCAATTTTAGGTAAATTAGTATCCTTTATTAAAATATAAACTATTTTATATTTATACAAAAAAGTATGTTTATTAAAAAAATTCACCATCTAAACCAGAATACCTTTAAAGTAAAAGATAAGATTTGCTACTAGTTATAAATACATAGCAGATGTAAAGTTAAACTACAATTTAGGCAAACTGAGAGGCATGATAATGCAGACCAAACAGGTCATAATTTAGAGTATGACTTCTAGATGGAAATATCAGGCAAATCAAGCTAATGTTCTTTTAGTAGTAGTAGAGTAGCTAGACCATTATGGGCTATTTTTTTCTTAGTCTAGCAACCAGATAGTCATATACATTTAGTTCTAAAAATGGACAAAATAGCAGGAAAAAAAAAGATAAAAAGAGAGGATTTATAAAAAGTTATTGCATACATGCTTTCCAAGGGAAGGGATAAAAATAAATCAGGGAAATTGTTTTCCTATTAAAATCTTGATCTAAATTATCCATTATATATACACCATCATGTACTATTGTTGTACTTGTGCTTTTTCATCCATCCCTATTATTGTATTCTTTTTAAAATAAAAAAAATCTACCTACAAAGAATAAAGTACAGTCAAGTCAATAATGCTCACATGGTCATTCTTTGCTCTACTCTGCCTCTTTATCTGTTGAGCTTCATCTCACCTTTTACCACACCTTATCTGAGCATCAAGGTATTTTTAGTTTTACTGAAATGATATCAACAGAGATTACCTATACTTGCTTCTACTGCTCATTGCCCTACACAGTAAGACTCATTCCCTCATGGTCTATGGGATTCATGGCTAGATGCTGATTTATTCATTTTGGTACATGTCCTTACTCCTACAAAGACTACAGACTCCTAGAAACAACTTTATTATTTTGCTTTTTCTCAGTGGTGACTATTAGCTGATTTGTATTTAATAACTTTGATAAATAATTTATCTTCCTTGAATTTTAAAATAGAATAAAATAAGAATCTACAAAGGGAGAAAACTGAACAGTTTCAAACTAATTGAATTTTGAAGACTGGCATATATGACTTTGATCACTTTCAAAGTGATTTACAGACTGCTAAAAATAGAGTATCAGTAGATATGAATGAGTAAATTACCAAATAAATGAAGATCTGCACAGAGTGCTTCTACCCATTTATAAACCCATAATACTGTATGTATAGAAGCAGTGGCAGTTGCTAGGATAAAAAGATATAGTTCTTGCCCTCAAATGCCTCCATCTAAGATGGAAGAAAATGGAAAGATCATTACAATAAAATAAAAACTACAATATGAGAACCCATTAGAAAATATTATTGTTGATAGTGGCTTACAAAGGCTACTTTTGTAGAAAAAATGTTAAACTTATCCTCCTCATTGACCTTAAGAATAAAAAATCTATTCCAAATACTCTTGAGCTTCCTGTTAAAACCTGAGACCCTCAATGAGTCACTTCTAGCCTTTTCTCATTGTTCTATGCTACATATTCATCCTAACTACTGCGATTATAGACTCAGATCCATCCAACAGCAAGAAATCTATTGCTTTGTACACTCAGTTCTCCCACTGCACATACACATACACGCACATATACATACACAAACATGAGAATATTAAAATTAGAATATTTTATAGCAAAAAAAGTATTGTACATAAAATTTTCTCTTTTAAAACTAATAAATCTCCTAATCATCTACAGATCTATGGAATAATTAAGGTTACATTATAGCCAAGAACAATTACAAAGGGATCAGATAAGCCACCATAATGTGCCCATGTATTAAGGAATTCTTGGCAATGGTTCTATACTGTGTCTTGTCGGCAATACAGAATGTATCAAATGGGTCTGACCTATGATATTTCTGTGGATTAATTCATAAACAAGGAAGTAAATGCCATTAATGTTCCTCATGAGAAAAAAATACTAATGCAAACAATGTTGACATATTAATCCTTATGAAATCAGGTCATATAACAAGACTTCTTTAGCATCAGAAAACAATAATAGGTTACATTCTAACCTTTGTCATCTAATACTAATTTGTACTGCTTTAAACAAGCAGTAAAATATGAGCAGTACAAATAGATGGTAAAGTATTTCAGTTGAAGTTAAATTAGAAATATGCTTTGAAAAGTCTAAATTCAGTGGTTACAAGTTTTCCTCCACAGTAAATATCAATGTATCTGTAATCACTGACATACTCACCGCACTGACTGAATTTCTCTTTAAGTTTCTGCCAAGTCAAGTCAAAAGGCAGCTAGAAGGAAAAGAGGTGTTAGTAACAAATATACAAAGAAAAGCAGATTTTTAGGTGTTCTATACATTTATTTGCTTACATTTCTGACAAATATCTGGTTGCCTTTGGAGCCTATTCTGTCTCTCATTCCACTTCCCATTGGACCCGATAAAAATCCTCGATCCATATCGATGCTCCTTTCCAGGATGGCACCTATACCTGGTCCCATTCTATCGAAGCTGGAACTCACGCGGTCCAGTGCCATCCCCATTCCTCCAGTCACACTGCTCATGGCACCCATCCCACCACCTGCATGTCAAGAAGGGTAGGGGAGATTTGGGAATGTCGTTTTCATTTCAAAAACAGAGACAGATGGGAAAAGAAGAGGAAGGAAGAGGAAAATAATCATTTTTGAGAAAGAAGGGAAGAGAAAAAGCCATGTACATAAATCTATAATACACAAACATCAAATTATTTCATATAGTCAACAAAACAATTTCTCAAAGAACACAATTTAATTTGGTAGATACTTGGTTAGTGTCTTAATTCTAGTCACTATGAAAAATACATTATACATATAAACCTCTATAAAACTGTGTTCTAATCATAAAACAAATATTTAAGTTATATAAATCTCTACCAATCTTTACAAATATTAGTAATTTTAATCCTTATTTTCATTTTCTAATAATTATTGAATTAAACATGCTGCTCTCATATATTTCTGTATATTCTTTTCCTAGCTTACTTCTCACCTCAGTACCTTTACCTGTTTCCCATACAATTCCTATTTTGATCTCAGTTGAATTTTCAATAATCATAGAAAAACATACTTTTTAACTTCCATATTATACAGAGCTTATAAAAGGAATAACAAAATCTGGAATTAGTCTCCTTCAATAAAAGCTTGAGAATTTAGCTTCTAGCTCATATTTCCTTTATTCTTATGTGATTTTATTTCCTGGCCCTTTTCATTCTTCCAACCTTAAACTATTATTCTTTTTTGTACCTAATATTACCACGCATGAAAATTCTAAAAATTAACATCACCTTCAAATTTTCTTTCAGTTAATAAAAAATTATAAAAGTAGGGAAACATAAGTAAGAACATTGAGATAAAGGGAGAAGATAGGAAAGTTACAATGAACAGGAAAATGACCAATGCTAAAAGCTAGATGAGAGGGGTAGCTCATACCTATAATTCTAGTTACTCAGGAGAGTGAGAACTAGAGGTTTGAGGTTCACAGCTAGCTGGGGTAAAAAGGTCTGTGAAAGGTTTTGAAACTCCATATCCAATTAATCAGAAAAATGCTGGACAGGGACATGGCTCAAGTGGTAGAGCACCAACTGTGAGCCAAAAAGCCAAGCAATGGTCCAAGCTTAGCCAAGTTTAAGCTCATGACCCAGTATTTTATCAGGAATAAAATGAGAAAGGTATGATGGAAGTAAATGTCTTAAACTGATAGGATTTTAGATTTTATTTTCGGCTTGTAAAATTCCATAAATTAAAGGAAGTCAATAAAATATGGAGGGTTCACAGACCATGACTCAGCAGGCAACAGAGGTCAAAACTAAGTCATGCATTAAGGCTTAAATACAAGGCCTAAAATTTGGTAGTGCAAAGAGGAGAGATTTAGCATTCTCAAGTGTTTCAACTGCTCTTGTGGGAAAGGTGTAAGAGTCAAGGAAACAAAAACCTGTTTAAATCTTTGCCTTCAACTAAAAGTTACCGTTACATTTGCATCTACCAAAAAGACATAAGGTGTTTAAAGATGAAATAAACTAGTAGCTATTATAAAAAATAAAATGGAGGTAAGATTGGTGCCAAAGCAACAGTTATCCCTGCTGTATGCTCATAGAAATCCCCAGATTCCTTAGGTAGAAAGATAGTTTTTTAATTGACTAATATTTAAAACATAGGTTAGCGATATCAAGGAAGTAAACTTCAAAGTTGAGAAATTTCAAACACTGATGATCAAACAGAAAGGCTTAGCTCATTAACTATCAAAGTTTCTCAAATTATGGTAAGGCATATTGGCATATGAGAACAAAGTATTACAACACTACAATAACTACTCTTGAAAGGTCTTTGCAAACACTCAAATATTACTGAATAAATTCTAAAAAAATTTAAACCTACTTATTCCAGATCCTACTGGACCCATGTTAGAAGCTCCTATTCTTCCTGCAAACCCTCCAATCATTGCACTGCCTAAACAAGGATGGAAAGATAATATACTAATTAATTTAAATAATTATACTTTAAGATGCTATGCTTTCAGAAAATGTACAATAATTGAACAGTATAAAGTCTTTTGGAAATAGAATCCAAATACATAAGTGAAAAAACTAATACATTAAAATCTAATGTTTTTCTTCAGGTAATAAATCCTGTGAAACATTATAAATTTCTGGTTTTACACAAAAAAAAGAACAAATTTTGAAAATATAACCTGAAAAAGGAAAGAAATATGCAGCCAGCCCTACCAAGTCTACCAAAGGAATCGCCAAAGCCTCGGTTTATTCCAACATCACCACGCCCAAAGTCTCGCTCCATGCTACTAGTCATCGCACCACGGTATAACTCTGAAAAGATTGTGCAACAAATTAACCCTTTTTCAAATACATCAATGCAAGGAAAACCATTCAAGAGTATGTCTAAACTAAACTGGAAAAAGACAGCAAATAACATCAATACAAATAATCTATGGTTTGTCCAACTTACCTCACACACCACACATACCATCCCCATTTCTGCTATGCATGTCCTTATCCCCTAGCACCCATATGCCTTCTGAAGACATCTATAGCACCCATGCCTAAGTGAAGGAGAGGGGTATTTTAATACTAAGGAAAAGTCAATACAATATAACATCCTCCTATATGCATTTACCTACCTCCCACTCGACCAACTCCACCAAATCCTCCCATGCTATTCATTGCTTCCAGACCACCAAACCCAATTCCTACAAAATAAAGTTTAATTTTAAGATTTTACTGTCAGTTGTAGAGATGAAAGGTACATTTTGTAAATATAAAGTCTCACTGTAAGCTCGTCATGCACCCTCCCTTGTACGGGCTGGGCTACTTCTTAACACTTATCTTCGCTTAAGCATCTACCTGGCTCAATTTCTGCATGAGCCAACACTAAAGCATGGCTTTTTTTTCCTTAGAATTCTCAACACAGTTCTAGTTTCTTAAGAGTGGCAATAGGTACATGTAAACAACAACAACAAAGTATGTTTTACATACCTCCTCCAATTCTATTCATTCCTCCAAACCCTGGACCATCCATTCCCATACCTCAAATAAAATATAAAGTATGTACTTTCAGTGAATCATATCTTTGTGACTAAACAATGATATTATAGAAAACAAACATTACTGGTATATCCACAGTGGAACACTTAGTATAAGAAAAGCAGCAGGATACAGAAAATGGTTTCAAGTGCCATGCCATAGCAGTTATCATCAAAAAGACCTCTGAATATTTATTAGACAAGAAAGCAAAACTCCCTAGTCATACAACATCAAGGGAGAGCATACCTAGACATGTGTACCCAACTCATTTGCTTTCTTTCAAAGCATACAAAGAAACACCGAACAGCATATTTAATCATCAGCCCAGAAAGTAAACACAGTATTATGTATAAATACGTAAATAATATTAAATAGTATGTGTTTAGGAATATGAGGGATATGACAGCTCAAAGAAAAGGGAGAAGTAAATAAATGGATAAACAAATGGAAAAATAGTAGAACTTTAGGAAGGTGAGGTATATGACAGCTTAAAGGTAAGGAAGAAAATGTTTGCATCAGAATAATTGTAAGAACTACCCTCATAATTTAGAATATGATTATAGCATCTCAAAAAAGTAAGACTCTGATATCATTTATTTGTCTTGTCTGTTAACAAAATGAGCATCCATCAAAATCACTTCAAACACGACTAATATAATTTGACTGTTTTACTGTCGTTCTCTCCTAAATATAACATCTAATGGTCTAGAGACTACATAATGTCTTGATACCATACAAACTGAATGAAGCAGATATAAAAGAATTATAAATGAAACATTAAAGAGATACACAAAATGCCTTTCTTCTCACTTGCTATTTCATTGGAAATAGTTTATTTTCTTAAAAATTGTACTTATGTAAAGCTGAATATAGTGGCTCATACAGATGGCTAAGATCAGATCTGAAATCATGCCAGCATGGGCAAAAAATTAATGAGACCTCTCATTCAATTAATAAAAAGCTGGATGTGGTAGCATGCATCTATCTCCCAGCTGCAGAGGAAGTATAAATTGGAGGATCACAGTCCAGTCAGTGTAGGCATAAATTTAAGAACTTCTTTGAAAAATAATTTTAAAAGGTTGGAAGTATGGTTCAAGTGTTAGAAAACCTTTAGCGGGCTGGGAAAGTGGCTCAGTGCTTGCCTTGCATGCATGAGGCCCTAGGTTCGATTCCTCAGCACCATATAAGCAGAAAAAGCCAAAGGGTGCTGTGGCTCAAGTGGTAGGGCACTAGCCTTGAGCTGAAGAGCTGAGGCACAGTGCCCAGGCCCAGAGTTCAGGCCCCACGACCAACAAGGGGAAAAAAAAAAAAAAAAACCTATATAGCAAGCACAAGACCCTGAATTCAACCCCCAAGCACTGCCAAAAAATTTATTTGTTACAAATTATATGTTATATATAAAATATAATTTTAAGGGTTAAGAATAGAGTTAAGCTTAATTACTGCTAGCTTTAAACAAATAATTTTTATAATATTTGTTTACTATGGCAGTAAATATTACAGTAAATAACCACATAAAATCACAGGAGGGTTTAACAAATTCTAAGAGTATAAAGAGTCTTGACACCAAAAAGGTTGAAAATCATTCTATGAATAAGCAACTAAGTCCACATAATGAGCTAGCTACCTAAGAGACTAACTTCCTAAATTAACAAGTGACATTGCTATGATATAGTAGCATTCAGCCATTCCACAAATACTGTATAACCACAATAAACATGGCACGATGTTGAGAATTCTCCTTAAGTCATAAAAACATTTCAATATCTACAATGCTAAAAGCTTCACTCTATCCAGACTAGTCTCAGAGGGACCTTCCTGTACTTTGTCTAACCTTGTTTGTTTTAACTGCTCTCTCAAGGTTTTATTCCCTTTGCAAATTAGAGATATCCTAAATACCTATTAAAAAGAATCCTTTAAACTTTATGACAAAGTAAATAAAAACCTTATTATATGACAAATATATCATTTTAAAAGAAGAACGATTACTAACCACTTGGACCTAGATTTCCCATTACGCCTCCAATGTTCAACTGGCTAGCACTTATAGGCTGTCCTCCTGGACCAAGTCCCATTCCAATGCCTCCAAGACCACCTAAAACATAAATAAAAATATGATACAACTACCTGACACTAAAATTTTTAAATATCTGTACTCTTGTAATAGTATCACTCAATTGTTTCCAGTCTGCAAATAAGAGCACGAGCTCTTGTTTTCATTTAGAAAGCATCAAAGTCAAAACTGATTAATACCATTGATTAATGTCAAATATTTGACAAAACAAGTTGAGGTTGTATTCTATTTAAAGACAAACTGCCAACAGGATTTTAAACAATAGATCATACTTTACAAACAACATAGATATCTGAAAATGAACATTTTGAACAAATGTACAGAACCACTAAAAAACTAAGGATTACATTTAAGATGGTCCAAATCAAACTAAAAAGTCAATAGACATGAAAACATAATATTGAATAAAGAAAATTATTACATTACCTAGGATCATTAATATTTATTTACATTTATATGGTACTGTGTTTTCTTTTCTTTTTTTTTTGGGTTCGGTCATGGGGCCTGAACTCTGGGCCTGGGCGCTGTCCCTCAGCTCTTCAGCTCAAGGCTAGCGCTCTACCACTTGAGCCACAGCACCACTTCCGGCTTTTTTGTTTTTGCTTATGTGGTGCTGAGGAATCGAACGCAGGCCTCAGGCATGCAAGGCAAGCGCTCTACCACTGAGCCACCTTCCCAGCCCCTACTGTGTTTTCATATCTACTATTCATACAGGAGGAAATTTATGAGCCCTTAAGTTACTTGCACATTAACCTTTATGTATGTATGTATTTGATAACTACGACTAGAATTCAAAACTTCTTTGAATCCAGGATTTCTTGTATTAACTTTCTAAAAATAAATAAATTAGATGAAAATGAACTTTCGAAAATTTGATGACTTTAAAAGTAATGAAATTTGCCAGGCACCAGTGGCCCACGCCTATAATCCTAGCTGCGTAGGAATCTGAGATCTGAGAATCACAGTTTAAAGCCAGCCCTGACAGCCAAGTCTATGAGACTGTCATCTCCAATTAACCACAAAAAGCAGAAAGCGGAGCAGGGCACTGGTGGCTCCGCCTGTAATCCTAGCTACTTAGGAGGCTAGAGATCGGAAGATCATGGTTCAAAAGGCAGCCTAGGCAGGAAAGTCCATGAGACTCTTATTTCCAATTAACCACCAGAAAACTGGAAGTAGCGCTGTGGCTCAAGTGGTAGGCCACTCACCTTGAGCTGAAGAGCTCAGGGACAGCGCCCAGGCACAGGGAGGGAGGGAAGGAAAGAAGGAAGGAGGGAAGGAAAGAAGGAAGGAAGGAAGGAAGGAAGGAAAGAAGGAAGGAAGGAAGGAAGGAAGGGAGGGAGGGAGGGAGGGAGGGAGGGAGGGAAGGAGGGGAGGGGAGGGGAGGGGAGGAAGAGAAAGAATTAAAAAAAGAAACTCAGGCAGTGGGTGAAAAGTACAATGGGGACATATTTCCAGGGCAGCTAAGCAGAGGGCTTTACTGGGCCTCCAGGCAAAGAGCGAACAGCTGATAAAGAAGAGGTCAGGCTCCAGCCCAGGCCAGAGTACGGCCTGGAGATCCCCAGAGCCCAAGGACAGACCCAAGGAACCAGGTCAAGTGGGGTTCAGAGCTGCTGCCCAGAACAAAGGGGCAGAAGCTAAGGCCAGTCGCCAAAGATGTGCAGATGCACTGAGCCCACCCATGCATGGGCAGAATAGCCCAGACTGGGGCCCAGGAATTGCCATGGAAATCTTTAAAATTAGACAAGCATGTCATATTATTGTAAAGACAAATATGAGGAAAATATTTTCCTATTCCACCTATAAACACAGACTTCCAGAAACCAATGCACACCAATGCTTACATGCAAACCAAGTACCATCTTTTCATCTCTGACAAGTGACAAGGAACCAAGAAAGAAAAGGAAAATAACACATCTCAGAATAAGAAAATCAGACTGGAACTCAAAAACATTGTTTTCACCCAAAAGTAACAATATCAGAAGCATAGGGAATGAGCAAGTTGCCATTTATCACATACAGCAATCTGAGCAAAAGGGAGTGAGGAAAAACGAGGGAAAGGTAGTTTATAAAAAGCAAAACTGTCATTTACATCTACATTACACAAAGAACTTAAAGGTTATTCCACAGACTCATTATGTAATAAATTGCTGGATTCACAGGACAACTGTATTAATTCTAATCCTGTATGTCCCTACTAATTCAACTTCATGCTATTCAGACAAAAATAAGAAAACATACACAAATCTATCCTTCAAATGAGAGATTTTACCATAAACATCTCAGTAATTGATAGAGCAAGTATCAGTAAGGTCATGAAACAACTGGAATAATTTACTAATTTGATTTGACATATAACAACACTCCCAACCACATCTAGAATACTTACCAAAATGGGCCAGATGACAGACCACTCATAATTTTGTACAAATGAATTTCAAAAAAAAATCCCACCCCTCTGTACAGTATGTTCTCAAATAAAATAAAATAAAATTTAAAAAAAAAATCCCAAAGATCATATTTTCTGACCACATTTGGTTAAAAACTAAAACTAATGTGAGAACAATACACATTTAAGGATTTTTTTTTTTTTTTTTTTTTAGTTTGGTCATGAGGCTTGAACTAAGGGCCTGGGCACTGTTCCTGAGCCCTTTTGTTCAAAGCATTTCATTCTACCACTTTGAGCCACAGAGCCACTCTGGTTTTCTGGAGGTTAATTGGAGATAAGAGTCTCAAGGACTTTCCTCCCTTAGCTGTCTTTGAACCATGACCCTCTGATTTCAGCCTACAGAGTAGCTAGGATTACAGGTGTGAGCCTGCATGTGCCCAGCTTCTTAAATCTTTCTGATCAATACAATAAAACCATCTCCAACACTCCAAACTAATCCAAAACTGTGAACAACTTGGATACATGTACAAAAGTTTTGCTTATTAGCAAACCAAATAGGCTATTATTTCTGATAATAGCTTTTACTTACGTGGTAACTGTGGTGTTTTACTATCATGTGAACGGTAGTCTTCATGAGGAACAGACTTGTCGTCCTAATTGCAAAGAAGTTTATTACAGTTAATATATTTCTAAAGAAAATGGTAATGCTGATTATAGAAAATAAAGACTGGAAGAGGTTGGAATTTAAAGTGATATATAAGAACTCACCATTTTCACATGCATAGGTCTATCAAATAAAAACTGTCCATTGAACATTGCTGTTGGTTCAGTTAAGGAAAGCCAGTTAATATGACAATAAAATTATACTGAACATTAAATTATCTTATTAAAGGACTCTCCAACTATTCTCTAATATTTTAACACCTTTAGAATTTACTTGTATTAGTCTCTTTCATATACTCAAGGAAAATCCTTTCTTTGCTTTATAGCTTTATCTGATAAATAAGGTATTCTTTTAATTCAACCACTGAAAAAAGAAAATTAACAAGGTAAGCATGATTGCTTTGAATGAGACTTGTTAATTAACAGTTATCAAAAGCAAGTAGGCAGACAGTGGCGGTAGAAAGGGAGAACAGAAAAGAGCTCCCATCAACCCTGTACTATGAGGCTAATTCAAGTTCTAAGAGTGATTTTAGTACATAGACACAGTCAAGTTTTATGTTCAGGAGAGTAAAATCTAACAGATTCCTAAGCTAGGCAACCTTAAATTCCATCATGTCTAAAGAATGCTATCTATCTTCTGCAATGCATCGTTTTAGCAGCAAACAATACTAAAATACAGATCAGGATACAAATTGCTTGAACTGCTTCAATTGCTTGCTCAAAAGTCACAGTGCCCATCCCTCTGCTCTTGCCATCCTTGTCTTCTTTAATGTCTGCTCGCTTTACAGTTCCAGCTATGCTGAACACTTCCTTTAGCTTTTTCCAACCAACTTTGAAGTCAAGCTTGACATAAAATTGAATAAAGTTACATATCTAATAAGCCCCTTCCCCCATGTAAAAATACAACATAATCTTTTTAAACTCTCAAAACCAAAAAGAACTATAAATGTTCAAGTACTATCACTGTAAGTTGTTTAAAATCAGTTCAGCTTTATCTACTTCATCCCTTTATTCTTCTTCTTTAATTCTGCAAATCATATCTCAACGATTCTTCTGTACATTTGAAATTCAGACTATTTTCACCAGGAGAAGTTCAGTTTGGGCAAAGTATTGCCCATTCCAATTTCAAGAGCTCAGAACAAATGACAAACTAAGCACAGTATACACACTCACAGATATCAAGGCTACAAGAATGAAAATCCCACTGGGCACCAGTGGTCATACCTGTAATCCTATCTACTCAGGAGGCAGAGATCTGAGGACTGAAGTTCAAAGCCAGCCTGGGCAGGAAAGTCTATGAGACTCTTATCTCCAATTAGCCAGCAGAAAACTGGAAGTGGCGCTGTGGCTCAAGTGGTAGAGTGCTGGCTTTGAGTGAAGAGCTCAGGGGCGGTGCCCAGGCCCAGAGTTCAAGACCCACACCCAACCAAAAAAAAAAAAAACAACCTCCTTTCTAATATGAACAGATATATGTATAAAATAAATAATTTCAAGAACTGCAACTGTTTATAAATTCCACCGTTCTGTTTTAAAAATCCTCAATACTTGTATTAGACTCTCACCTCAAATTGGGTTTGATTTTACAGTAACTACAGTTTTTACTTACTTAGTAAAAAAGTAAGCAATCTTCTAGAAAACTGTAACCCATACATCTAACTATACAATCTCATAATTAGACCCAAGGATTCAAACTAATTTTAGACTAAAACTTACATTAGCAACAAAAATTGTAGAACCAAGTCTACCAGCTTGCAAATTACTGATAACCTCAGGCGGAATGTTTGGATTATTGAGAATTGAAGGTGGCAAATTCATCAACCCTGATCCCATGTCTGGGACGTGTCCTCCTGGAAATGACCCTCCTGTTCGTTGCAATGCTCTACGGGCGTTTTCTCCATCAGGATCCTATAAACACATTGAATGTTAAAAGCTACCAAATACAGCCATAAATCTATATAATTAAAATAAGTTCAAATTCTACAGTAATTAAGCCATCTGGCTCAAATTATTGAACCTCTTGTTTTTTTCTCATCCAAAAAATTGAGTCCCATAAAAATGTGCAAACTGGCACAATATTTTTGTCTCCAGGAATGTCAGTTACATGCCTTTCTCCAATCACTAAAAGTCACTTGAGAACTTGAAATTAGTTTAATCCTGCCTTCATGCTAGTGAGCAAGCATAGTCCATACACATAATGTGACTCCTTTCCCCCGCCCTGCAAAAAATACAGGATGCCCAATAGAAGATCAAATTAGACTAACTCAAAGCTTTTCAAGAGTATAACAGACTGTTATAGAGGGATAATGGGGTGTATGTAACTGGTAAATTTCCCTCTGAACAAAATACAATTATATTCACTCTCTAACTTCTTACCTTCTTCAATAATAATTATATTCTGAGATAGGAGTAGGAGAGAGATAAAAGAATCTAAGTATCCAAGTAAAGAATTAAAATAGGCATTGTTTAAGTCTATTAATTTTAAAAGAGAAATATTCTATCTGAACATAAAAAAGCCAGTTTAAATATACTTCTCACTCTCATTCTACTAGGTATAATGCAAACAAAAAAACAAAAACACATACACACAAATATATATATAAACTGACCACATACTATCATCTGCAATGTCAAATAGTTACAGTAAAGGAAGCCATCAACTCTACTATCTGCAAACTTTGTTAAGCAAATACCAATTTTTTTTAAAAAGGGAGCTGAGAGTGTGGCTTAGTAGTAGAGTGCTTGCCCAGAATGCATGAAGCCCTGGGTTCGATACCTCAGTATCACATAAACAGAAAAAGCTGGAAGGGCACTATAGCTCAAGTTGTAGAGTCTCAGCCTTGAGCAAAGAGTCTCAAGGACAATGCCCAGGCCCTGAGTTCAAGCTGCAGGACAGGCAACAAAAAAAAAAGGAGAGAGAGGGGGAAGGGAGAGGCGGGGAGAGAGAGAGAGAAAAGGAAGGAAGGAAGGAAGGAAGGAAAAGAGCTGGGCACCAGTGGCTCATGCCTGTATTCCTAGTTACTCAGGAGGCTGAGAAGTGAGGATCAAGGTCTGAAGCCAGCCCAGGAAAGAAAAGTCCATGCGACTCTTATCTCCAATTACCTCCCCCAAAAAAGCTTTCACAGCCAAGATGGCTGTGAAAGGATGAATACATTTTTCAGTAATACATTTTTCAGTACTAAGAAATAAAAGCGTTACAAAAGTAAAGAAATAAACATCAAAATATTATAAAACTTTAAGTTTAATAAATATTTCAGATCTGAGAACTCAAAAAGCATGTAAGAACACTAAATTTAGAAGAGTACTTACCTATGTGGGAAAGAAGACAAAACAGACATTTCTATCAAGATACATATGTTGTTTGTGCTTAACATTAATAAAGCATATTTCTATGATTTGATTTGTCTTATGTGTGATAACGATTTATAACTATATATGTATATACATAAAACAAACAGCCTAACAGTTTTTATTCTTCTTTCCCCCATTCTGTCAGCCTGTTAAGTCAGTGACTGCTAATTTTTAGAGGTTCTTTATTATTTACAACTACTCTAATCTCCACTTACTTATGTGGGGAAAAATTGTAATGTTAAGATCTTCTAGAGAATTGGAAGTATACTTTCCTTAAGATTCATGCCAATCACACATTCGTAAGTCAAAAATTCCCAGAAAAGGGGATGCCTTTAGTAATCTTAATTTTAAAAGATCTATTAGATAAATCCCTCCTCATTCAGTGAGAACAAATTTGACCATTCTTCCCCCTTAAGTTAAAAATGGACGCATCCTGCATCAGCCAGAACCTCATAAGTATTCCACAACATGCTAAAACTTTAAAGACTCTGATGATATGGCCTTGGCTTTTAGCATCTAATAAACTATTTTTTTCTAAGCAACAGTGGAAAGAGCCAGGCACCGGTGGCTCTCACCTGTGACCCTAGCTACTCAAGTGGCTAAGATCTAAGGATCACAGAACAAAGCCAGCCTGGGTAGGAAAGCACATAAGATGCTTATCTCCAACTAATTACCAAAAACTCCAGAAATGGAGCTGTGGTTCAAGTGCTGGAGTGCTATCCTTGAACAAAAAGGCTCAGGGACTGTGCCCAGGCCCTGAATTGAAGCCCCAAAACAAGCTACTGAAGAGCAAATAGGAAATCATGTACAAGTAAGTTTATCATTAGTACACAGTGCTTTAACAAGCATTTATGCTTAAAATTTTTTATCGAATACGTTACCAAAATGAAAATTTAACAAAAGCAAGAGCCAGGTACTGCTGGCTCACACCTGTAATCCTAGCTACTCAGGAGGCTGAAGTCTGAGGATTGCAATTCAAAGCCAGCCTGGACAGGAAATCCCATGAGATTCTTACTTAATAAACTACTCAGTAAAAGCCGGAAGTGTTACTATGGCTCAAGTGAAGGCATTAGCCTTGAGAAAAAGTATCTCAGGGACAGTGCCCAGGCCCTAAATTCAAACCCCAGGCCCAAAACACACACACACACACACACACACGCACGCACGCACGCACGCACGTGCTTACACTTAAACATTTAAATTCTAAATATAATTAATCTTACCTCTTTAATATTCAGAGGTCTTCCACTAAGGTCATATTTGTTCATAGTTTCTAGTGCTTTCTTTACAAATTCTTCATCTTTGAATTCAACCACACTTCATAGGGAAAAAAATGTATAAAAATATTTATGTATTAAGAGCCTTTTTTTCCAGTCAGAAGTTTAATTTGACTTAAGATAGAAAAAAATTCTTACCCACAACCCTATATCCAAGTAGATTTGTCAATATATGCAAAAGAAAAAAAGTTTTACATCAGTAGATGAAGTAAATGGTGGATTCTAACATTTCAATCAAGAGTAATTAATATAAAATCATGTTTTGTTTTTTATGCCACCTCCAGAACATAACAGGCAAGAGACCACAAATTTTTGATAAAATTTTAAGTCTAACACTTTGAAATGGTAGAAATAGCATGTAACAGCGTAGAGCACATTTTCCTTTTTTTCTTTTTTCTTTTTGTCAGTTGTGGGAGCTGAACTCTAGCCCTTCTTAAAACTAACATTCAATCAAACCAAGGAAGAAACTGAATGTTCCATTATATGTGGTCATTACCGGCACAAATACTTTCAAAGTATGTAAACAATATATTTTGCAACTCTAATCAAAAGAGCAAATGAATGTTTTATTGTTATTAAAGTTCTCTATTAGATTAGAACTGGCTGCACACAATTTAATAGCACCCAGTTTCAAGTATGGAAAAAACTCACCTATGTTAAAGAAAATTATAGAACCATATTTAAAAATAATTTCTTGTGATTATTGCTTATAATGCCATTTGAATGTGATGACAAAGTTTTATTTCTCATGTACCCAACTAATGTTTGTTAATATAATGAAATAGTTAATAGCTTTCCATTATATTCTTCAGTATATTTTATTCCAGTTGCTAAAAATTAAAATATATTATTAACCAATTCATCATGTTTCAATTTAATCATCAATATCATTCATACCAACTGGTCAGAGCACTGCCTCTTATGTAGTCCTGCAGGCTACCAAATTAATCTTTTCAATAAAAATTTCAAAAATACATTTTGAATTAACACCTTTTAGTTATAGGCCTCTCCTAAAACTCTTAGGAAATAGTATCAATTCAGCGACTTTTAAAATATCCCTGAAGACATCAAAGTACAACATAAAATTCCTATGGTAAAATCTTAGCGGCTAAGAAGAAGCATTACCTTAAACATTAGAAAAAAATTGAATGTCCTTTAAAACATTTACAAAACCCATCCCTTCCAAGCAGCTAGTTTGGTTGGTATAAGTGTCAGACTTGCTAGTATAAAACCTCAAATCTTACATAATAAAGTAAAACGAAATGAAACTTAAGTTTCCAAAAACTGGTACATTATACAAAAAGTAAACTGCTGAGGAACTTTTAAACCTCAAGCAGATGATTGCCCACAGCACTTACCCTTGATTTTCCTTCCGCATCCTTAAAGAGCTCCACGTATGTAACCTCACCAACTACATAAGACATACAAAAGGAAGATACCAAGAAACAATACATTTAAACACCAGTATCTTGCTTTACTGCACACCTGTGCACAACTCTACAGAAAAGCACCTATTATTCACCAACAATCAAAACCAGACCAACATACCTCCTGTCAATGGCTATGCAAATTTAACTAATTTTCAGAAATGTACATCATCCACATTCTCTAAAAAAAGCTAACCACTATATTAACCTATTTCATACTACAGATCATATTTTGGCCAGCATGATATAGTTGGTGAACAAATGCACATATAAATACAAATGGTCCCTTGGCCTATCATATTAACAACATTAGCGCTTTTCAAATAACTTTGGTCAGCCTACACACAACAGCTGTTTTAAGGTGACTTGCTACCTGAATGTCTTCAATCATGTTTGCCATCAGTAAACTCAATTTACAAGTCATGCTTCACAGCAAGCCACACACTAAATAAAGTCAATGAATAAAACCAATCAAATAGTTGTCACCTTACAACAGATACACCAATGCAATTTTTTAAATTTATTAAAAGAGATCAGCCTCAAAGCCAAGTACATAGTTAACAGACAGTTGAAACAATTTTTCAAGAGGTAGCAGAACTAACTTTTACAAAGTCAAGTATTAAAATTATTTTCCCCAAAATCAACCATGTATATAAGATGAATGTTTTCAGATTAGCCTGAAAACAAAATTGCAACCGCAGTAACGCAATTTTAATATAGAACTGCAAAGACAGCATCAGAGCAGTCATGACAATGCAAACAAAATGAATTCCACAGCCAGATTCCAGACTCCACCAAGATAGTAACAAAACAGCTTTTGGAAATATATAGTCAAACCTTATTGTTCATACATTAACACGCTAAATATATTGTAACTAATGCAATAGTCCCTTAAAATCTATAAAGCTTCAACTAGACAAAGCAATCACATTAACAAAATTCTTGGTGGCATGCAAATGCTGGCTCGCTACTATCCCACCAAAATGGTAAAAAAGAGAAGTACTTCATTTATCTCTACTACATTGTAATACAATTGTTGTGTCAAGGGAAAGGAAGTGAAAAGATTAGTTCATATGTCAAGAAATAAAAATCAGATTTTTGAGTCTGTGTGGCTAAGAGGAATAAAAAAAACCTTGCTTAGTTTCCTCCCCTTCCTACATGAAGATTATCCAACAGTGGGTTACTTCAGAAATAGTTACCTTTTTCTCGCATCAGATCTTTAATAGCTTGCCATTTCATGTCATAAGGAATGTTGCTAATGAAAACTCTGTTTCGATTTGGACCCTTCTTTTCTCCACTGCCCAAATTCTTGTCTTTTGAATAAGGGTGAAATCGATTGGCCTTCTTATTTCCAGTAGATTTTTCTTTTAAATCAGATTTCTCTTCCTTCACGGATTCATCATTTTCCCTGTAAATTTTTAAAAAATGCCCTTTAGTTGTACTTCTAAGAATGCAAGTCTATATTGAACAAATAATTTAATACTTCACAAAACTTTCAACTAAACTGAACCTTAAGAGCTGACCCAGTAACTTTGAATTATCATGGGTTTGAGCAATTAGCAAACCTGACAGTGTCTCAGTTAACAATCCTCACTTTCTTTCACATTAAATTATTGCAAGCATCCCAAAACCCAGTTTTCTCCCATCACACTACTTGTTATTACAGGGGAGCGTTCATGGTGCAGCCTATCATCCCAGCTACATAGGAAGCATTAAGTGGGAGGATCTCAAGCTGGCCAAGCAAAAACTTTCAAGACCCTATCTAAAAAAGGGATAAGCATTGCCAGGTATTGATGGCCCATCAAGATATTAGAAAAGTTCATCTCTTGAAAGTTAACAGGATTCTTTCTGGAACTTTTTCCTTTTATTAAAAATAGAATCTAAGCCTGGCACCAGTGGCTCATGCCTGTAATCCTAGCTACTCAGGAGGCTGAGATTTGAGGATTGCGGTTCAAAGCCAGCCTGGGCAGGAAAGTTTGTGAGACTCTTATCTCCAATAAACCGCTAGAAAACCGGAAGTGGTGCTGTGGCTCGAGCGGTAGAGCGCTCGCCTTGAGCTGAAGAGCACAAGGACAGCGCCCAAGCCCAGAGTTCAAGTCCCACAACCGACAAAAAAAAAAAAAAAAAAAATATATATATATATATATATATATATAAAATCAAAATATAGTCATGTCTAGATATCAACATTCATATTCATATATTCATAAGAAACTCAAATTTCTTCTATTCACAACTTTCATAAATACAAAACATTTATGTGGTATCGTAATATCTTCATGTTGAACAGTTCCTTAGTACTAGTACCTATACGATGAGGAGACAGGTACAGGAGAGAAGCAATAACACATGAGTCAGGATTTTCTAAATCTTATTTAATGAGATGTAATTGGAAAAATATCCTATCTGAAAGACCAGAATCACAGTGCAACTATTATGCTGCTATACAGTCAACCACAAGATAGACATCCATAGAAAATAGGTGTATATTTAAGATGAACCCTATACTTCAAAGTTTATATTCAAGTTTATAGGGCTTATATGTAAATCTCTAAGGTTTAAATGTAAACATATTTAAAATGCAATTTATCTTTCAAAAGGAATCTTTTAGAACAGGCTTAAGTTACTATTACTCTAGTGAAATTGCAATCATTAAACAAAGCATCTATTTTAAGGCAATATTTCACAGCATATACTAGTGAAATTATCTAGGAATGATACTCAGGAATCCTAATTTTTTTGAAGCTTCCTGGATTATTCTGACAACCAACCGTATTTCGTAATCTAGGGTATAAATTATTTTCTAAGTCATTCTGAGAGTGTACACACTACAGAACTCCACACACACCTGTTTTACAACATGCTGAGCTATTCCGTAAGCAGGCATAAACACAGCATTACCTTTATGAATAAAGGCTATATCCTTAGTATCAGCAGCATTTAGCATGTGGGCTGCATTTACCATGTATTTAATGAACAAGAACTTTTGAATGAACACTTAATAAGTATACTATCCGAGTACAGACTGTATTACTGTCTGCCAGAAAAGCTGCTGGAATTAAGAGACTTTCTACCAAACTTACTTTTCCATCTTTCTAGACCTTGATGGGGACTTGTTCACTGCCAAATATATTCCCTCATGAGAAATGATATGACCTAGAAGGGCTCTTCTCTCCTGTCCAGAAAGTACCTTCCTGTCAGAACAGAGTACTACTCTTGAAAATGGAGGCAAGCAGCCAAGAGGCACAGAGGTCTTTTCTCTGGTTCCTGGGTATAACAGACACAATGACAAACTCTTCCTCTTAATCCCCTAAGAATTCATTTACATAACAGGGAGCCTAGGCAGAATTCAATGGATGTTTGTAAAATAACTCTTTGTTCAGGTAAGCAGGTACCTGTATAGTATCAACATAAAAATCCCTTTTCTTCTATTTACTTTCCTCAGGATGAAACCAATTGTGAAATTGCATAAAATTCTGAAATATAATGTCCTTCTATTTCTGACCTGGCAGGGAGGGGTGCTGTCCATGAATATGGTAGACATTTACTAACAATATTCTCACAAGTTCATCAAAACAAAAAACAAAAAAACCACTAATTTCCTAACTATACGTACTTCAAAATATTTTCTTAAAGGGTGACAAAAGAGATCAATTTCTTCTTTTTCCACAACTAGTAGCATCTTTTAAATACCACTATAGATAATTTAATGAGTTTTATCTACAGAATATATATTAGGTTAGAGGCTAAAAGGGTGAAGTCACTTAATTACCAATAGCCAAAGCTCCACAATTTCTGAATTCTGTGTCATAAATACACTATGAAGAGAAAGTTAAAAATAAATGCAAAAACTCTTAAAGAAACTATGATATCAAAATAATGATACTATATCCAGAATTCCATATACTAATTCTCAATCTATTCATTTTGGCAAACCCTCCTTTTTAAGGCATTTAAAGAATCTAGTCACTTTTATCTGCCTCTGAGAATGAATTATGCCTAACTCAAATAATAGTTTAAATATCTGAGGAAAAATCAATATCCAACATCAAATGAAAAAAAAAGTAGCACTAATGTGTGATTTCTAGAAGCATAATGCTACAGTAGGAAATTCAAAGTGAATCTCAATTTCAGAAGAGAAATAGAAAGATCTCAACTTCATATCTCAAGGAACTCGGGGGAAAAAAAAAGCCCAAAAAGTTAGTTAAAAAGAAAATAGCAAATAGCAGAACATAAATAAGTGAAATACACTAGAAAAATAATAAAATAGATTAACAATACTAGGAGTTGATTTTTTTTAAAGGGCAAATAAAACTGACAAACACTAAACTAGCCACTAAGAGAAAAAAAAAATTCTTTAAAGACTCCTCAAAAACCCAAGAAAGAGCAGGGTGCTGGTGAAAAATACCTGTAATCCTAGCTACTCAGGAAGCTGAGATCTCAGGATGGCAGTTCAAAGCCAGCCAGGGCAGGAAAGTCCTTGAGACTCTTATCTCCAATAAACCAGTAGAAAACCAGAAGTGGTGTTGTGACTCAAGTGGTAGAGCCCTTGCTAGCTCTGAGCTGAAGAGTCAAGGCCCAGGCCCAGAGTTCAAGCCCCACAACCAACAAAAATCAACAAGAAGAGAAATTACAACTGACAAATGACAAGCGAATCCAAGAGAGTTATCAACTGATAAATACAAATGACAAGAGAATCCAGGAGAGTTATCTAACAATCTGGATGCCTTAGAATAAATTCCTAGAAACACACAGCCCACTACATGAAGAATCATGAAGAATCAGAAAGTTCTAAGTGGAAAAGGAGATGGAATCAGTAAGAAAAACTCTCCCAACACTAAAACTCTCTGGATCTAATAGCCACACTGATAAATTCTAACAAATGTTTATCAATAACAGTCCTGTAACTCTTCAAAGAAAATACTGAATGGAAGAGGATTGGGAAATATTTTAGGAGGCTAACAAGACTCTGATATCACAAAGCAAGACGAAGATACTATAAGAGAATTTTGTATCTTTGATAAAAGGATCATACACTAGGATCAAGTGAGAATTGAATATAAGGATGGTTTAACAACTCTTAGAATAAAAAGGCTGACATACCCATGTTAGTCAGTCATCGTTCAGTATCCACAAGCAATAGGCTCCAGGAAGCTACCCCTCATCCCAGAAAAGGCCCAGGTCCTTTATAGGCTTTTAAAGGCTCAAGTCCTTCATATAAAATGTTTATGCATATAACCCTAAGCACAACCTCCTAACCTCAAACATACTTGAAATCATTTCTGGGTTACTTATGATACTAATACAATGTAATTACTAGGAAATAAAATGTTACACTGTATTGCTCAGGTAACAATGACAAGAAAAAGCTCTTGTAAGTGTACAGTATAAACGCCACTTGGGAGGAGAGTGTGTTCTATCCACATTCAATCCAGTTTTTATCACTCCACTGTGTTTCACTTCTATTTTAATTCCAAATTCCCTGAAACTCAACATTTTGGTGGGCATGGTAGAAGGTGCTTCATGCAGTTTGATTTCTCAATAACTGAGGTACTCGCATACTTTCCGCTCAAACTCCACTGAGTTTCAATCTCTAACACCTGCCACTTCTCTTCTGCCCACTCAAACTCACTTAAGAGCAAGACTGTCATCAGCAAGTTAGGGAGAGAGCTATATTCAACCAATCCTGAAACGGACTGGTCCAGGTCATACTACACAGCCTCAGAGATTTACACACAGGAGAAAAGTCAGAAAGACATTTATTTACGTTCCCCATTTGAGTATAAATGCGTGTTTATTCTTCCTGCTCTTGAGACAGACCTGGGAGGGGGAAGGGGTGCTTTCCCTTAAGTAGTATCACACTGTCAATTTCAGGGTTGAAAATAAATGCTGGACTTCATACAGCACCCCCGCCCCCCAGACAATGCTCTCACAAGAGGTGAGAGCCTTCTACGTCCCTATCACACTGCCTGCTAACTGAAAAACGTTACGCACTTGAGTCCACTAAATGGTTTATGGGCACTGGTGACAGAAGCAACCCTAAAAGTGGCAGGCTTTCTTTTACTGAAAGGTGTGAGCCCTGGTGGCTCACACCTGTCATCCTAGCTCCTTGGGAGGCTGAGATCTGAGGACTAAAGTTTGAAGCCAGCCTGGGCAGGAAAAGTCCATGAGACGCTCCTCTCCAAGTAACCAGCAAAAAAAAAAAAAAGCCCAAAGCAGAGCTCTGGTGCAAGTGGTAGGGTGCCAGCCTTGAACGCAAAAGAGAAGGGACAGTGCCCAGGCCCTGAGTTCAAGCCCTAGCATTAGTGTGCACATGCGCGCGCACACACACACACACACACACAGATGCATTCACACACAATCTTATTTAGGGGATGGACCAGTGGTCCAGCACTGGAACCTGACATGAGACACTGCATAGCCAAGTGTGTGTGTGTGTGTGTGTGTGTGTGTGATGGCTGTGTGTCTGTATGTGTGTGAGTGTGTGATGGGGATGGCTGTGTGTGTCTGTGTGTATGTATATGTGTCTGTGTGTGTGTGTGATGGGGGATGGCTGTGTCTGTGTGTGATGGGGGGATGGCTGTGTGTGTCTGTGTGTGAGTGATGGGGGTGGCTGTGTGTGTCTGTGTCTGTGTGTGATAGGGGATGGCTGTGGTGTGTGTGTCTGTGAGTGTGTGTGTGTATGTGTGATGGGGGATGGCTGTGTGTGTGTCTGTGTCTGTGATGGGGGATGGCTGTGTGTGTGTCTGTGATGGGGGATGGCTGTGTGTGTGATGGGGGATGGCTGTGTGTGTCTCTGTGTGTGTGTCTGTCTGTATGTGTGTCTGTGTGTGTGCGATGGGGGGATGGCTGTGTGTGTGTGTGTGTGATGGGGGATGGCTGTGTGTGTGTCTGTGTCTGTGTGTGTGATGGGGGATGGCTGTGTGTGTGTGTGATAGGGGATGGCTGTGTGTGTCTCTGTGTGTGTGTGTCTCTGTGTGTGTGTCTGTGTGTGTGTGATGGGGGATGGCTGTGTGTCTGTCTCTGTGTGTGTGTCTGTGTCTGTGTGATGGGGGGATGGCTGTGTGTCTGTGTGTGTGTGTCTGTGTGTGTGTGATGGAGGGATGGCTGTGTCTGTGTGTGTGATGGGGGGATGGCTGTGTGTCTGTGTGTGTGAGTGTCTGTGTCTGTGTGATGGGGGAATGGCTATGTCTGTGTGTGTGTGTGTGTGTGTGTGTGTGTGTGTGTGTGTGAGATGGAGGGGGGATGGCTTCGAAAGACGAGGTCGGAGGTGGGGGGCATGACGTCATCCTTGGATACTCCCGGCCTTCCCAACGGGGCCCAGATTTACACACATTTACACACATTTACACACACACACACACACACACACACACGAACACACGCCCTCTGCAAACCATGGCGGTCTCCGAGCATTAGCTCCAACGGTCTCCAGCTGCAGTCAGGGAAGAAGAGGAGGTGGTGCCCTCCCTCACCCCCCACTTCCCCTTACCCCCAGCCCCATCCCCACGCGCGACCTCGGGGTGCCGCGCCCCCGCCCCGCCCCGCCCCGCCCCCCCCCCACCCCGGGGCCTACGGGCGCCCGGCTGCACCTGCTCCGCCTGTGCGCGCGCGCCGCGCACGGCCTGGGCCGGACGCCAGGCCGGAGCCCTCCCCGCCCCCCCCCCCCCCCGCGCCTCCCACCGGCCTCGGGGCCCGCCGAGGCCCGGCCGAGGCCCGGGGTCCCCCGAGCCGCCGCCGCCGCCCGGCCCGGCCCTCAGCCCCGCGGCCCCGCGGCCCCGGCCCGGCAGGGACAATACATTTTGACGCCGTTGGAGCTGCTGCTGTGCGGCGGCGCCGGCTTCTCGGGCTCCGGGGGCTGCGCTTCCCGCCGCGGCTCGCCCGGCGGCTCGGCGGGCTGAGGAGGAGGAGGAGGAGGAGGAGGAGGAGGATGCGGGGTGTGCTCCCCGGCGGCCGCGGCCGGCACCTCGGGCTTGTCGGCGTCCGCCATCCCGCCGCCGCCGCCGCCGGCTCCGCCTCGGCCGCCCGCCTCGCGCGCGCTGGGGGGGGGGGGGGGGCGGGGAGGGCTGGGGGCGTGGGGGGCGGGGAGGCCTCGGGACGCGACAATGGCGGCGGCGGCGGCGGCGGCGGCCGCGGCCGGGGGAAAGCGCTAACGGATCCCGATTTGAAAAGGCCCCGAGCGCTCACGCCGCGCCCTGGATCTCGCGAGAACCGGTCGAGAGGCTGAGCGGGCTCGGGAGAGCGTGGGGGGGGGGGGAGGAGGGAGGGGGAGGCCTGCCGCGGGGGAGGGGGCGACGGGAAGGAGGGGGAGGGGGGAAGAGGTCAGGGCCCAGGGGTTGCCAAGATGGCAGCCAGGCCCTGACCCCCCCACCCCCAGCAGCACCCCCACACTTGGTCGTTTGACCCCCACCCCCAATGGGGGGGTCTTTCCTCACTAGGCCTCTCTCCCGCTCTCCCCCCCATTCCCCCCCAGCAGCACCCCCACACTTGGTCGTTTGCCCCCCCTCCCCCTCCCCCAATGGGGGGTCTTTCCTCACTAGGCCTCTCTCCCCCTCTCCCCCCCATTCCCCCCCAGCAGCACCCCCACTCTTGGTCGTTTGACCCCCACCCCCAATGGGGGGGTCTTTCCTCACTAGGCCTCTCTCCCCCTCTCCCCCCATCCCCTCCCCACCAGCACCCCCACACTTGGTCGTTTGACCCCCACCCCCAGTGGGGGGGTCTTTCCTCACTAGGCCTCTCTCCCCCTCTCCCCCCCATCCCCTCCCCACCAGCACCCCCACACTTGGTTGTTTGCCCCCCCCTCCCCTTGCCTCCCCTCCCCCGCCCCCAATGGGGGGGTCTTTCCTCACTAGGCCTCTCTCCCGCTCTCCCCCCACCCCCATCCCCGGGCAGGTGCATGGGATCCGTCCCAGGGCCTGAGGACCCCCCCCCCTCCCCCCAGCGATGGAAGGGTGCTGTGTGTGTGTGTGTGTGTGCGCGGCTCAGTCCTCCGGGCAGCTGTGCAGAGGGTTCCTCTCTGCTCCTCTCCAGAGAACTAACTTCTGGGGCCTGGCTAGGCCTGGCCAGGTGGGGCTTCTGATGGTGTCCTGGTGGAAATGAGAGGCCAGGCCAGGGTGACAGGCGGGCGGATGGGTTCTAAGGACAGCTATCATGAGACGCATAGATTCTCCTCCCTAAGTAAAATTTACCAAAAAAAAAAAATAGTAAATTGAATCAATCCCTGGCTCCGGTCGTATGATGTTTCACCTTTAAAAATAACCCTTTTGCATCTGAGAAATCCAGTGATCACCCCAAATGCGGCTTTTCCTGAAGTAGCACACGCATCGTTTGTTGTTTTGCAAAAGTATTACACACACACACACAAGGTTGTGGTTAGATACTAATACTCAATACATAATCTTCTCAATATGTCTGTTCCTACCACCTACCATGAACTACAACTACTATTCTCTCTCTCTCTTCCTTTCTCTCTTTCTCTCTCAGAATATTTTAATAGTAATGAGAATTCTTGGGAAAATACTGTTTGGGGTGCTGCCTACATAGTTCCATCAACACAACAGATGTTATGTACTTGCATGAAAGTCCTTCTCAAGCTTGAGACTTGAAGTGTTGGAAGGACACAGCATTTTAGCAGATCAGAGGCGCTCTGCCACTTTCTTTCTGCCTGAAACTCCTTGAACAAATGACTTTTCAATTTCCACAACAAATGAGGCTGATAAGACTTGTCTTTCTGGGCCAAGGTGAGAATTAAAGCACTTTATAAAGTGCTATAGGTGGCTGGGAAGGTGGCTCAGTGGTAGAGCGCTTGCCTTGCATGCATGAGGCCCTGGGTTCGATTCCTCAGCACCACATAAGCAAAAAGAAAAAAGCCAGAAGTGGCACTGTGGCCCAAGTGGTAGAGCGCTAGCCTTGAGCTGAAGAGCTGAGGGACAGCACCCAGGCCCAGAGTTCAGGCCCCACGACTGGACCAAATAAATAAATAAATAAATAAAGTGCTATAAGCTCTTACAATTCCCTCTCTCCTCGGGTTCCATCATGGGTTTAGTCAAAAAGAACCAAGTTGATTTTTACCAAAGTTCCAAATGGTAAGCACTTTCAAATGAGTCACTTTCTGCTATTCTTTTGTTATATCTGAATTTAACAATGAAACCTAATCTCACAGTCTCTACTATAGTAGATTGTTGTAAAAACAAAATCATTTCACCAATTCAACATTTTAAAGATCTTTTACTTAAAACAGACATATGATGAATGCAAAAATGACTAGAGCCTGCATCTGGTGACAAGCCCTACTGGGAGAGGACTCAAATATCACGATCAGAGTGCTATGATAAAGAGAAAAGCAAAGTATAATTTAAAAATTATTCACAAACATGGGAGACTAGCCCACATCCCACAGCGTGGCAATTCAAATATTTCACTAAAAGATTTAGCTTGATTACTGAGCTTCTGAGTACCTCTTTTAAATTTTGTGCCCAGGCAAAATGTTTCATTTAGTAAACCTTAATCCTGGTCTTCATAAATGCATAAAGAGCAAAGGTTAATCCCTATGAATCTGTGAGGGATTCATAGAAGAGCTAGATATTGAAAGATAGGGAAAATTGGAGCAAGGAAAATTGAAGACTTGGAGAAGTTGCTTTATCCAGTGATTGTTCCTCTCTTGCTATTAATATTATATGTACCTTAGCTATATCTATAAGAACAGAAGGAAGGAAGGAAGAAAAGTAGGAAGGAAGGAAAGAAAAAAATTCAATTTCTGTATTTTCATTTTCTTCAACTGATTTACTAGATTGTATGTGTACGTGCGTGTGTACATGTATGAACATTAAAATATTCTCAAGTAGTACTTAAGTGTTTTTATTTTCCCACAGTTCCCACTGTACAATTGTTGTCCTTTGTAATTATACAAATGTTAATTGTGGAATGACATCACATGACCACCAAGTTTTCTTTCTTACAAATTGAATGTGTATAAAGGAAAGAAACAATCTTAATCCAAAATCTTTCCAAAGCAATATTATATGATTGACTTAGAATTTACGTTCACCTGCTAGTACCAGTGACTGGATATAACAGTCACTGTTACTAGTCACTGAGCTTTGCCTAAACAAGATAAGGTTTAATCTCTTTAGTAGAGAGGCTGCGTCCCAGTGAAAATACCTCAGCTCCACAGTCATAGATTCAGGGCTGCTTCCTTAATCGTTCACTATCCTGGCATGACACTTGCCTACGTAAGGTTGCCGTGTGGTCCAAGATGGCTTCTCAAGACTTAATCATCCTATCTGCATGGGCAGATAGGAAAATCAACAAGTTCTATCCATAAAAGAAAGCACAAGCTTCCTATCCATAAATCTAGTATAAGGCTTCCAGTAATGGGGCACAATGTAGTCACAGGATACAATGAGCTGTAGAAGAGGTTGGCAAGTCGTTTTATAGCTGGTTCACTGCTAAAGGGGGTTCATTTAGCAAAGAAGAGTAGAATGGATTGTCAACTATGATGTAGTCAGCTGCCTTTAAGAATTATGAGGCAAGGTCCAACAAGATGAAATAAAACAAATTGTGTAGTATATGATGTTTATGTAGATTTCTTTAATTGACAAAATAAAATGGCTACATTTGGAGGCATTAAGTTTGTAAACTGTAGAAAAGAAAACATTGGTTCTCTTTTTCCTTAAATTCTAGAACTGGGATGTGGCTCAGTGGTAGAGTGCCTACCTAGCTTTCATCCCCAGTTCAAAAACAACAACAAAAGTATTAAAAAATGAATTTATAATCTTAACATACACTACAAAGATATACTTGAAATCCATGTATAATTCCCTTTTGTTCTAAGCATTTTATCCTATGATGGATTTCTTTTTCTCTCTTTCTGGTTATGTTCTATACTAGGTTATACAAGTAGTACCTTAAAATGTTTTCCTGAAGATGTCACATTTGTTGTTTGTTTGTTCCTCAGCTTGTGCTATAGAAAACATTACAGCCTTTCTAGCTGACATCCATTCCCTGTTTTTCTTATTGAAAAAAAAACAACAACACAATTTTGTTTAGAATAGTAAGGTGCCCAACTAAAACACTAGTGAACACAACCACAGAACACAAATCTATATACCGACTTACAAGGTGTTTACTTTGGGGGTGGGGAGAAGCTTCATAGAGATTGAATTCAGGCACACACTTGCCAGGCCAGTGATCTACCACTTCAGCAACACTCCAGTTCTGGGAGGTTATAATAACTTCATTGCTTCCTTTCATCCCTCTGAGGCCACAGAATGGAGTATGTGTCTTGAAATTGTGTCAACAAATATGAACAAACATACAAACTAACGATGACAGAGCTAGAAGATAGGACCTGAGACACTGCTGACCTGAAAGAGCAAGTGTCCATTTCATAAGCTTCAAGTCCAGGGAGAAAAGAAACTCCCTGTATGCATTTTTATTGGATTCCTGCTACCTGGGTTGCATGACGAGTATGCATTTTGTTCTATCACAGCCCTTTTTGACAAGGGCCACACTGCCTATCTGTCTAATTAGCAGGAGTCAGTGGTTTTACACTACAAATATGGTTTATTTTGTATGTTGCAGAAGCATAGACTACAGTGGTTTCATGTCAATGTATCTCAACTCAGAACTGTTTATATTTTAAATAAAAGTATAGGTATAGGTAATATATAAACAAATTTGTTAATATTATCAAGATTATCTTTTCTTTTTTAGGGAGAATGGGGACATTGGGGTTTGACCTCAGGACAAGTGCTTTGCTACTTGAGCCACGGCTCAAGACTTTTTGCTTCAGTTTGTTTTTCCAAATAGGGTGTCAAGTTTGAGGGGGGGGGGGGTTGGTCACCCTCAGACCACAATTCTCCCATTTCTTCTTCCTGCATAGGTGGGATTACAGGCATGAACTTCCAAAGTATGTCTTACTCTTCAAGACAGAGTCTTTCCAACATGTTTTGGCCTGAGCTAACCTCAAACTGCAAGCCTGTCTCCACC